CCCTTCCCAGCATGCCCTGCTGCACCCCCAGGCCCTCCCTTCCCGGCGCTCCCTGCTCTCCCCTCGGCCCCTCCCTTTCTGCCCCGCTCCCCCCTCAGCCCCTCCCTTCCTGCCAAACTCCCCCCCTCAGCCCCTCCCTTCCCGGCCCTCCCTGCTCCCCCCTCGGCCCCTCCCTTCCCGGCCTGCCCCGCGGCATGCTGGGGGGCGCGGGGGCCCCACCTTTGACCTCGAGCCAGGCGCTGATGGTGACGTTGTTCTGGTCGTTCTGGGCGAGGCAGACGTAGGCGCCGGTGTCCTGGCGCTGGGCCCGGCTCAGGCGCAAGGTGCCGTTGGTGTGGACGAAGGCGCGTTCGTCCTGCAGGGCCGGCTCCATCCGCTCGGTGAACCTGCCAGTGGGGGCGTGTCAGGGGCACTTGGCACCCTGCCCAGGGCACTGCTGCTGGGAAGCTCGCAGCGCCGGGGGCGCACAGTGGGGGCGAGTGAGAGGGAAGGAGGTGGTATCTGGGTGGGGCAGTGCAGGGGGGGCAGGGAGCGCGCACATGGGGGGGTCCCCTCACCACTCCACGCTGGGCATGGGCGCCCCGAAGGTCTGGCAGTCCAGGGACGCCGTCTGGTTCTCCACCACGGCGTAGCGCTGCTCGTCCGGGGTCAGGATCTTCGCCGGGAGCTCTGCAGGGGGGGGAGAGGTAAGGTGGGCTCTGGACCCATCCCCGCCCCTGCACCCCCAAACCCACCCACCGAGGGGATGCCTGGCAGGATGGGCCCCTGGGAGCTGCCCTTGGGGGAGGGGGTGCCAGAGATGGGACGGTTGCCAAGGGCTGGTTGAGGGGCCCATTTGCCAGTGGTTGGTTGCTGGGGGTGGTGGTTGCTAGGGGGATGATTGATGGTTGCTAGGGGTGGTTGTTAGGGAGCGGTCGCTAGGGGGATGATTGATGGTTGCCGGGGCGGCGGTCGCCGGGCACTCACGGATGACGTAGATGTAGGCGTTGGCCAGCAGGCGGCCGTGGCGGTTCACGGCCTCGCACTGCGTCACCAGCGAGTTGTTGGGCTGCACCTGGCTCAGGATCAGGGCCCCCGAGCGCAGCGTCCGCGCCGGGTCCGGCTCCAGCTCTGGGGGCGAGACGCGGCTGGGGGGGGGCAGCAGAGACACCCCATGTCCCACCCACTGCCCTGGCCCCGCCCACTGACCCGGCCCCAACCCCGCCCACTGCCCTGGCCTCGCCCACTGCCACACCCATCGCCCCGCCCACTGCCCTGGCCCCGCCCACTGACCAGGCCACGGCCCCGCCCACTGCTCCACCCATTGACCGGCCACGCCCACTGTCCCCGCTCCCACATCCTGCCCCGCCCCCCCGCTCTCACCTCCCCAGGGGACGCCGTTGACCCTCCAGGACACCAGGGGTTTGGGTTTCCCGTAGACGGAGCAGTCGAGCCGAACGTTCTCCCCGGGGCCGTACACCCGGCTGTGGGGCTGCTGCGCCCAGTAGGGGGCGGCTGGGGGGGGGAGGGGGGTGAGACCCGGTGCCCCTCACTCCCGATCCGCAGCCCCCCAGCTCTGCCGGTGCCCCTCACTCCCGACCCGCAGCCCCGCCCTCCAGCCCTGCCGGTGCCCCTCACTCCCGACCCGCAGCCCAGACCGGCCCCCCCAGCCCTGCCGGTGCCCCTCACTCCCAACCCGCAGCCCAGACCGGCCCCCCCAGCTCTGCCGGTGCCCCTCACTCCCGACCCGCAGCCCTGCCGGTGCCCCTCACTCACTCCCGACCCGCAGCCCTGCCGGTACCTTCCACGGTGACGGTGTAGATGTGGCGGGCGGTGCCCTGCGTGTTGCGGGCGATACACTGATACTCCCCGTCGTCCTCCTCCAGCACGTCCCGGATCCGCAGAGTTTTCTGGGAGTTCTCCAGGGCCGTGCGCTCCGCGGGCAGGGGGCCGTTCAGACGGATCCACTCCACGGTGGGCGTGGGGCTGGAGGCAGAGGGGGGCCGGCGTGGGGCTGGGGGGGGTCAGACAGGCCCCCCCCACAGCCCCCGTAACACCCACCCGCATAGCTCTCAACCCGCAGCCTCCCAGCGCCCCCCAAGCGCCCGCCCCACTCACAAGCCCTCCGCGATGCACTCCAGGGCCAGGCTGGAACCCCGCAGGGCGACGTGGGAGCTGCTCTCCCCGGGCGGCACCATCAGCCGGGGCTGGCGAAACTTCACCGAGTTGGCTGCAGGGGAGACGGGGGGGGGGGGGGGCGGGACGAAGCGGGGGGGGGGGGTTTCCAATGGTTTGCACGCGGGGGGGGTGGGACTCAGTTTCCCTGGGTGTTGCTGGGGGCCAGAGGACAGAAGAGGGGAGAGGGGCCCAGGCGACCCTGTTTCCCTGGAGAGAAGACAATGGACGGAGGGGGGCTTGGGGCCGGGGGTATCAGATGCCCAGCTGGGGAGCAGGGGGGCTCTGGGCTGGAGAGGGGGAGCAGGCAGAGCTGAATTCCAAACGGAGCTGCAGGTGGATCCCTCCCTGGAGAAACTGAGGGCCCTGGCTGGCCACGATAGTGCTGGATCCCAGGGGGAGGACTGCCGGGAGCGATTCCTGTGGGAGAGGGGATTCCTGTACCGGGAATGGACTGGTTCAGGGCGAACTGAATCTTGGAAAGTTGGGAGGCAGCTGGTGGTTCCCCAGAGGTACCACCGCAAACTGTTGTACTTGGCCCACGATATCCCCCTTTCGGGGCATCAGGGCATCCGGCGCACCAGGCAGAGGCTGCTGCAGAACTTTTACTGGCCCGGGTCTTTGACGCTATCCGACAGTATTGCAGGACCTGGGACTCCTGCCAGAGGGTGGGAAAGGCCCAGGATCCGCTGAGACCTTTGCCCATCATAGAGGAGCCTTTCCAGAAGGTGGCCGTGGACATAGTGGGGCCCCTCAGCAGGGTGACCCGGTCAGGGAAGAAATACATCCTGGTGGTGGGAGATTTTGCTACGCGCTACCCCGAGGCGGTGGCCTTGTCCTCTATCGAGGCAGACACCGTGGCAGACGCGCTGCTGACCATCTTCAGGACCTGGAGAGAGAGGTCGGGGACATGCTGGCTTTAGGGGTGATCCAGCCGTCCGCCAGTCCCTGGGCCTCGCCCGTGGTGCTGGTCCCCAAGAAAGACGGGTCGATCCGGTTCTGTGTGGACTATCGGAAGCTCAATGCCATCACCGTGTCTGATGCCTACCCCATGCCCAGGACTGATGAAATCTTAGACAAGTTGGGGGGTGCCCGGTACCTCACTACCCTGGACCTCACCAAAGGCTGCTGGCAGGTGCCTTTGGACCCGGAGGCCAGGGCGAAGTCCGCCTTCACCACCCCAATAGGGCTCTTCGAGTTCCTGGTCCTGCCTTTCGGCCTCAAGGGGGCACCTGCCACCTTCCAGCGCCTGGTGGATCAGTTACTAAGGGGGATGGAGGGCTTTGCACTAGCGTATATTGACGATATCTGTGTCTTTAGCCAGACCTGGGAGGAACATGTGTCCCAGGTGAAGAGAGTGCTGGGTCGCCTCCAGGATGCAGGACTGACCATAAAAGCGGAAAAGTGCAAGGTGGGGATGGCAGAGGTTTTATACCTGGGCCACAAGGTGGGAAGCGGCCACCTGAAGCCGGCGCCGGCCAAAGTGGAGGCAATCAAGGCCTGGCCCGCCCCCCAGACTAAGAAGCAGGTCCAGGCTGTCATTGGGATGGCGGGGTACTACCGGAGGTTTGTGCCCCACTTTAGCTCCCTGGCAGCACCCCTCACGGAGCTGTGTAGGAAGGGAAAGCCGGACAAGGTGGTCTGGACCGAGCAGTGCCAGAGGGCTCTCTGTGCGCTGAAGGGGGCACTTATCCAGGGCCCGGTGCTGGTAAACCCGGATTTTAACAAACCCTTCCTGGTGTTCACCGACGCCTCGGACACAGGGCTGGGGGCGGTACTGATGCAAACTGATACTAAGGGGGAGAGACACCCCATTGTGTACCTGAGCAAGAAGCTGCTGCCCCGGGAGCAGCACTATGCGGCCATAGAGAAGCAATGCCTGGCCATGGGGTGGGCCCTTAACAAACTGCAGCCATATCTATTTGGGCGGCGCTTCACCGTGCACACCGACCATTCGCCCCTGACGTGGCTGCACCAAATGAAAGGGGCTAATGCCAAGCTGCTGAGATGGGCCCTGCTCCTCCAGGGGTATGACATGGAGGTGGTCCATGTGAGGGGGAGCGCCAATGTTATAGCGGATGCTTTATCGCGGGGCGGGGACCCTGAACGTCCCCAGGTCACTGGCTAAGTGACCCTGCTCCGTTCAGCCTCGAAGGGGGGAGAGATGTGACGAAGTGGGGGGTTCTCTGGGTTTTGTCACTGGTTTGCACGCCGAGGGGGTGGGACTCGGTGTCCCTGGTTTAACGAGGGGAGGGGAGAGGGAGTTCGTTGGGACACAGACCCGGAGAGGGAACTTGGGACCCCGGCCGACGGCCTGGAGAACGGAGACCCCAGCGACTGGTGACCGGGTGACCCGGAGTCGCAGCCGGTTCTGGCCAGTGGGGGGACAATGGGCTGCGGGGAGAGGACCCCGGTGACCGGACCAGCCGGTTCCAGCCCGAGGGGCCAGAGGACAGAAGAGGGGAGAGGGGCCCAGGCGACCCTGTTTCCCTGGAGAGAAGACAATGGACGGAG